CCTTCTCGGTAGTCTAAGGTAAAACCGAGTGGCGACCGTTTGATAGGAATATTATCCGCCGGAATCGGGCTCAACACGTGCCGTCCGGTCACAACGTCACTCTCCGGGTACGTGGATCACACGAAAGTGTATAAATTTCAGCCAGATTTGCCTATCAAATGGTCGCCACTCGGTTTAACCTTGATATACCGAGAAGGTAAGTATCGGAATTTTAGTACGATGTTGAAACAATACTCCATTAATTCTCTTTTATTTTCAGGTCCTCGACGCTGGATGTCTCGACGCCCCGACGCTGCCTCCTGCTGGATCACTGATGAACAACGTGGGACCACCCACCGACCGAACAGGTAAGTAGAAAATGTGTATGTTTATCTAATCGACCGATTTCCTTTTCAGCTACTCGTCCCGGATGGATCTCAACTGCCGCTGACTGTCCCAGATCCTCGCCTTATCGCATACTGGAACGCCGCTGGACAACGATGGATCGATGCCGTAGGACAATATAAATCACAGGTAAGTAACTTCAAATTAATTTGACACTGCGTATATTAACAAACGATTGATTTATTTCAGATTGTCGTCACTGGTTACAAAAATTGTCGCGCCGTATGCGCTATGTTTAACGCGCAAGTACGCGGGAGTGCTTGGTTGTTACATATCGCTGCGCGACGACGCGCTAAGTCCGTATTATAAGCGAATCTTAAGTACGTGTTACCGCAACCACAACATCCGAGCGACTGCCTCGAGTTACCGGGCTCTCGCGGCGTCCCCACCTTGGGGCTATTGTTCCCACCAGCGGTACCTGCCTCGCCGCAGTATCTTTCCACGCCAGATGTTGAACGCTTTCTCTTTTCTTTCGCTAGTTTTTAGGTGTTTTCGCATTCGCTGTCACCCGTGGTTCTCATGCCGGGCTTCCTATGTGTCCGCACGCATACGCATGAGTCCCCTCGGACTCCGGGCCCCTGGTTCCCGCGACTGGGGTTCGTTTCGCCGAGTGGTTTCACCGACCCCTGGGATCATCCCTAGCGCTTCCCCCCGTGACCATCCGTCCGCTACTTTCCGCCGGAAGTCCGCGGTTCTCGAGTTCCGGGTGACATCGCGTGTCCCGGATATCTCGGTCCCCGGCTGCCGAAGCGCGCCTCCGGCTGTGTCGCCGCGTCTCTGGAAGGCCTCCGAGGCCGTTCTACCCCTTCGCTTCCGGGTCGGGTTCCCGTACCCCGATTTCCGGGGGACATGCCGTGTCCCCGCTATCTCCGCGCCTGGTAGTCCTGGCGCTTCGCGGTACGGGTAGTTAGTCTCGGGGTCTCCCCTTGGGTGGACTCCGTTGTTCGGCCCCCGGCTGGGACCGTCGTACCCCCCCACGCGGGGGACATTACGTGTCTCCGCTATCTCCTTAGCCCGCGGTTCTGTCGCGCCGCGGATCGACTCAATGGCCTCGGCTTTCACCCCTCGTTCCATCCCGAGTCCATCTCTGCCCGCTCCGACCCCCTCGGCTCGCGCGCCGGGGTCAGTCCGACGTGTCTCCGCTATCTCGCGGGCCCTTTGCCGGATTCTCGCCGTGATCGGTCTTGTCGCCTCCGCTCGGGTCTCCTGTCGGGGCCCGATCGCTAACTCGTTTGATTTGCCTCTTCCGGCTTACCTGCCGGGGTCAATCTGGCCCCGGTTCCATTACTTGTCGCCTCGCGATCTTTTATGAGGAACGCTAGCCATAAGGGCTCTTCGGACTCGCTTGTCCGGCATTTGACCTAAGAAGATACGGGTGTTCGCTTTCGTGGCCGCTGCTGTCCCCTGGGTGTCCCCGGCTCTTCAGCTAGGTGAACGGTTGCAAAGGAACGCCAACCATAAGGGCTCCTCGGACTCGCTTGTCCGGCATTTAGCATAGTCAAGTATGGGTATTCGCCGCTTCCATGGCCGCTGCTGCTCTCTGGGTGTCACCGGCTCCGTGGCTAGGTGAACGGTTGCAAAATACACATAAGCAGAATTTTTCAGTCAAAGGCATAGGTCCAGCCATAGAGCTCCACGCATCAGCGGGTGCTGTTATACAATCAAAGCATACTGCGTATCAAACTAAGCGTCAATTTCTGATTACTGAACAAATAGTCGATAACCTGCCTATAGCAGCAGTCAAAATCGGTCATCTTAAAATTCCTCCTAATGTAAATCTCGCTGACAGAACGTTTCACCTTCCAGGTAGGGTTAACGTGATATTAGGAGCAAGCATATTTTGGGATCTTCTTTGCATTGGCCAGATAAAACCATGCCGCAATCAGCCAGTCCTCCAGAAGACACATCTTGGGTGGATAGCCGCTAGTGACATTACTTCAGTCACTCAATCGCCTGCATCAATCAGTTACATTACAGCCGACGCGGCACTTCAAAAGCAAGTCGAAAGGTTTTGGACAATAAAAGAGATTGACCGGGCGCCGGTGCGATCAAAGAGCGACGAATCGTGCGAACTCTACTTTCTGCAGACCTACAAACGGGACGCAAGTGGACGGTTTATAGTCAGTCTACCATTCAGAGGGGACCCCAGCAAGTTAGGCGAATCCCGTAGTACCGCGGTGAAACGATTCTACAAAATCGAACAGAAGCTAGAACGCGATCCTGAGCTCAAGGCAGCTTACGTCAAGTTTATGCAGGAGTACGAATCATTGGGTCACATAATTGTCGTAAGTGATACAACGAGCGGCACCTCGCCGGTGTATTACATCCCACATCATGCTGTAGTCACCCGAGTTAACGGGCAGAATAAATTTCGGGTAGTCTTCAACGCTTCTGCCAAGACGACTTCAGGAAAGTCTCTTAATGACATTTTGCGAGTCGGACCCACGATTCAGCCAACGTTATTTGTAATCGTGCTGCGATTCTGACAACACCAATTCGTACTAACAGCTGACATCGTGGAGATGTACAGACAAGTCGAGATTATCGAGGAACAGAGAAATTTGCAGCGAATCGTGTGGAAACCAGCCAGCAGTCTACCATTGCTGGATTACTCACTAAATACAGTTACATATGGTGAAGCAGCCTCAGCCTTCTTAGCAATTCGATCTATGCAGCAAGCAGCTCATGATGCGAAACAATCTCATCCGATTGCGAGTAAAGTCATATTGGAGGATTTCTGCGTAGATGATCTCCTCACCGGCGACGATGACATAAACGCACTTCGATCCCTGAAGACAGATCTCATTGAAGTATTGGGATCAGCAGGCTTCACGTTGGGCAAATGGAACTCTAACGAATCGACTTTCTTCTCATCCAGTGCAGACGAGGTTCCGCAATTACTAAACATCGGGGACGAAGTGAAAACTCTCGGTCTTTCCTCGGCTTCCCGTAAGGACACACTATGA